TTTTTGCTTATGTGCATGTGAGTGTGTGTGTGTGTGCTACGTGTGCAGGTACCCAAGGAGGCTCGACATGAGTGTCAGATCCTTTGGAGGTGGAGTTGCAGGAAGTTGTGAACCACCTAGTGTGGGTGCTGGGAACCAAACTTGGGCCCTCTAAAAGAGCAGTAGGAGCTCTTAACAGCTGAGCCATCTCTCCAGCCCTGAGAATTCTTTTTGTTTGGGGGTGAAGGGTGGCCTGGAACTCACTATGTAGACTAGGCTGGCAACAAACGCAGAGATCCACTTACCTCTGCCTCCTGAGTGCTAGGATTAAAGATGCTCACGACCGTGCCCAGCTTCTGAGAATTCTTTTGGGTTTTGGGAGGGTGGGGAGGAGGGGGTGAACCGGGGCCTCCCTGTAACCCCAGCTGGCCTGGAACTTGCCATGTAGACCAGGCTGGCCTCAGTCTGACAGAGATCCGCCTGCCTTTGTCTGTCGTATGCTGGAATTAAAGGGTTGCACTGTCAGGCCTGACCCTGAGAATTCTTAGAACACCTGATAGATGCCGTTTTCCTACTGAATGTCCCATTGGTTTGTTTTAGATGATGCCAGGTACTGTTGATCCTGCTTAGCTTTGATAAGTTAGGGCAGCATTCAGAAGCTATCAGGATTAAGAGCATTCCAGTCAGGAGAGTAATTAATAGGGTCACAGAAGCCCAAGATGCGGCCTGACAAGGGAAGCTCGCAGAGGACTCCGCACGAGTCGTTAAATTTCTTCTCCACCATGACCATGCCTCCTCTGTGGGAACATACCTCACTTTCTAAACATAATTCACTAGAATTGGTGTGATAAAAATTTATTTCTTGGCAGACTTTACTAGACCAGATTTATCCTAAATAAAAGAAGATCATTCGATTGGTTTACATAAAAGACCCTCAAAGAAAACATTTGTTTTATTACAAGCGCCTGGGGAGGGTTTCTTAACCATGAACAATATCTTTCCTCCAACCTAAGCAGATACTTCAAAATAAATGTATATTAACTGATTACAGGAAGGTGTGCCCAGATGCCACCAAGGGCGGCTTCATGCTCTGCTTCCTAAAGATGCTGCCTTACCCTTGATCTTTGTCTGCAGAGCCCCTGGAACGTCCTCTGTCTGCATTGCTTCATGCAGGAGCCTGACTGCCCAGCTCTCTGAGATGCTCCCATGTGTGGAGTAAGCACTACACAGTGCAGGACTTCTCTGAAGTAATCACACTGGAAGCACAGTGCTTAGCAGAACTGACTTTGGTGACTTGGGCCATGCTGGGGGATTCTCCATCCCAGGTGCAGTTCCTCCCCCATTTTAGGGCAGCACAGTTTGTTTTTGTTTTTTGTTTTTTTCCTTTTTCTTTTTTTCTTTTTGAGACAGGGTCTTGCTCTAGCCCCTGCTGGCCTGGAACTCTCTATGTAGACCAGGCTGGCCTTGGACTCACAGAGATCTGCCTGCCTCTACCTCCCGAGTGCTGAGACTAAAGGTGTGCGCCACCACGGCCAGCTTAGAGTTGCCTGTTTATATATGCAGGTTGGAAGGAAATTTTGTGTTGTCGTGCCTGCAAGTTGAAGCATGTTTGTGGAAAAAAGTAAAAAGCTGTTTGATCTCAAGGCAGCCTTTTGAGGTGTGAAGGAGCAGCTCTCTGTCTTTGTCCCTTGTCCTGCTTCCTATGAGCCGCACGCTGACAGTTGTGAAGAAAGCGTTCTTCACAGTGGAGAGGGCATGGAGAAAATATCTGCAAACAGCAGGAGCCACTCCATCCTCCAGGGCTAGTCAGTCTCATGTTTTGCTTTCCAGAGCCACTCTGCATTTACTGTTTGTCACAGTCCAGCGGTCACTATTTCTTCGGGTTGGTTCCAGGCTGACAGCCCCTCTGAGGGCCGTTGTCTTCCATTGGAAGCTTTCCAGATGCCCTCCAGGCCTCTGAAGGAGTGCTGGGTGTGAGCACCAGCACATGTGCCTGTTGCCGTTTGACCTGAGGATGCCAAGAGCAAAGCTGTCTCGTTGCAGGTGGGCTTGGTCCAGGCTCGGAGTGTCTCACCGCATGTGCCCTGAGGTGGACCCTTGGCAGCGTGCTTGTGTGTCCGGCTCTCTCCTGCCCAGGTGCGCTTCGTCTCCCTACTCCTTTATGAGGATGTGGCCCGCCAAGTGGGTTTCTCAGCAATTTCTTACGGCCGTGCTTCCTTAGCCAGAAAACAGGTTGTGACACTTGAATTTTCATGAAACAGATAAAACTGTGTCTGGGTGGGGATAGAGCTGTGTGGTAGCTCTTGCCTAGCATGCGTGAGGCCCTGAGGCCCAGCCCCAGCACTGCTGGGGATACAGTCGAACTGGCAGAGTACTTGCCTGGCATGTGTAAAACATGTAGTTTGATCCCCAAAGCTGAATAAATAAACCAGGCATGGTGGTACATGTCTGTAATCTCAGCACCCTGGGGATGGAGGTGGGAGGGTCAGAGTCAGGGTCATCTTTGCTTTCTTAGTGAGCCACTCTGGGATGCTTGACCTGAAAAGCACAAAATCCAAAGACTGTACCAGACTATATATCTGATTCTTAAGGGCCAAACCACAGAAGGTATTGTTAAGTTCCCAACAAGAATGTACCACGCTAAGTAGGGTTAGTAATTTCATCCCTTAAATGAATTTTTTTTAACATTTTATTTTATTATGTGTCTATTAGTGTGTTTAAATGTATGTAAGTGCACCCATGTCTCACAGTGCCCACAAAGGTCAGAAGAGGGCATTAGATCCCCTGGAACTGGTGTTGCGGGTGGTTATTAGCTGCCATGTGAATGCCGGGAATCGAACCCAGGTCCTCTGCAAGAGCTGCCAGTGCTCTTAACCACTGAGCTGTCTTTCTAGCCCCAGCTGCCATGTGGGTGCTGGGAATCGAACCCGGGTCCTCTGCAAGAGCAGCCAGTGCTCCTAACCACTGAGCTATCTTACCAGACACCGCCCTTGTGTCAAAAGAACTGTAGACACCAGCTTGTTGGTCATCGACTTGAGTCTTTCACTGCTTTTGCATGTGCTGAGGGCACATGTGGTTGTGGAGGCCCAGCTGGGGTGGGCAGAGCAGTGTCCTGTGTGTCCCACCCTGGGCCCCAGCTGAGCAGGTCGCTGATGGTCCTGCTGCGGCCCTGTGTGCTGCCTGCTCGTGCGCTTGAGCAGCTTTGGTTTAGTCAGGTGCAGCTGAGGACACTGGCTCCTCCGTGTGCTCAGCCGTCCTGACATCTTGGGTGTTTACTGCTGTGTCAGGTATGCTGAAGGTTCAGCCATTGGAAAGATGGTGCTGTGCTCCTGAGCTGTTTGTATGGAGGAAGGGATGGTAAGAGAGACCAGAGTTCAGAAGTAATTTGGGGTCATAGCACTGGGAACTTACGATGGCCATGACTGGGCAGGGGGCATTGGCGGGTGCTGCTGGGGAAAGGTGGCCCTGAGTGAAAGGGACTCAGCCTTGAGAAGGGCATTTTAGGGAAAATAGCAGCAGCCAGAAAAGTGCTGTGGGTCAGGCAGTGTGGTTGGCACAGCAAACGGTGTGCCCACCAGTCCTCACCAGGCAGCCATACACCAATCCCTTTTTTGGCTTTTTGTTGTTTTATTTGTTTTTTGAGACAGGGTCTCCCTGTAGCCCCAGCTGGACTGGAATTTGCTGTGTAGATCAGACTGGCCTTGATCTCACAGAGATCCACCGGCCTCTGCCTCTGCCTCTTGAGTATCAGGATAAAAGGTGTGCCCCCCAAGAGCAGATTATGAGTCAGGCGTGGTGGCACACTTGGGAGGCTGAGGCAGGAGAATCGCCGTGAGTTCCAGCCTGGCAGAGGTACGTAAAGAGACCCTGTCTCAAGAAAAGAAAAGGAAAGAAAAGCAGGGCGTCTAGATGGCTGGCTCATCAGCTAAGAGCGGGCGCTGCTCTCACAAAGAGCCAGAGTTTGGGTCCCAGCACCCACTTCAGGGCTCATAGCTGCAACTCCAGCCCCAGGGAATCTGATACCCTTCTTGGCCTCCAAGGGCAGCTGCACACGTGTGCATACCTATACACAGACACACACACGAAACAAAATTTTGGAAAAGCAAAAACAACAAAAACCTCTCAAATCACAGATTGTAGAGAGATAGTCTAAATGTTTTTGTACTAACGATTTTACTGATGTTTCTTCATATAGCAGATGTTTTTATATCTCACTTCAGAAATTAAATAGGTGATACCAAAAATGTGTGTCTACCAGTGACGGAAATCCAGTATTGCTCAGCATTCTTAGTGAAAACGGCAGCGTGGAAGGCAAGTGTTTTGTAATGCACGCAGTGCCTACTGGTGAAACCCGGGCAAACCAGGGCGGCGCGTCTTTGTGTCCCCTTGCCCGAGATCCCAGTTGTCCTGACGTGAAGGCAGCCTGAGTACAGCAGTGGGCAGTGCCCAGGCTTGGCCTTGTCTCTTCAGAACAGGAACTGCCAACAAGACTAGCGTGAGGCATGGCCCCACCCCACGGACCAGGGCTCCAGGGACCGAGAGCTGAGCAGCTTGGAAGCAGCCAGGGAAACCAGAGACAGCCTCTCAGAATGCCTGCTGATCCTCGCACGGTTCCTTGTGGTAGAGAAGGACTTAGCTGCACAGTGGCAAGTCTCAGCTGAAGCTGTGTAGGCCTCTGTTTGTGAGTTGTGTGTGTGCATGCGTGTGTGTGCTGGGATTATGGCAGTGCAGCCTGGTTTGTGCAGTGCTGGGGGTCAAACAGCCCCATGCATGCTAGGCAAGCACTCTGCCAACTGAGTGCCATCCCAGCTAGGAACCCTCATCTATAGGAGGCCAAGTCCCACGTTAGAAGACACAGTGGGATAGTGACATAGTCGTTCCAAGATACATGTTGGAAATGTCAGGTACTAAAATTTTATTGTTGCGTTATAGACAATGACAACATGAAATGTAATTCCGGTGCATTTTCATAGAGTGCTACACTGATTGGAAATGACATTTCAGGGCTGAGAGATGCTCAGCAGTTAAAGAGCACTGGCTGCTCTTGCAGAGCACCCGGGTTCAGTTCCCAGCACCCCTGGCCCAGCAGCTCAGAACTGCCTATAATGCCAGCTCTTGGAGACCTGACACTCCCTTCTGGCCTCTGTGGGTACCTATACACACATGACATTTATACACACACACACACACACACACACACAAATAAAAATAAACCCTTAAAAAAAAAGGTCTTCCTTTGTTGGTGGTGGTGATTTGTTTTGTTTTGAGCCATGGTCTCTTGTATCCCAGGATAGCCTCTAATTGCTGTGTAGCCAAGGACAACCTGGAACTGATCCTCCTGCCTCCACCTCCCAAGTCTGGGATCACAGATGTGGCTCACCATCCCAGGAAGGACCAGTTTCTTATGCTTTGTTTCCCCTGAGTTATCAAACACCTATGAAAAGACTTGTAGAAAAAGTTTTTCACTTGCAAAGTAGAGAAAGAGTGCATGACATTCAGAATTCTTGAGAGGACAAAAGTGAGTGTAAACAGAACAACATTCCGTAGAGAATCCACCCCAATAATAATAAAAATACAGAGATCATATGTGACTTTGAAATGAATTAGGAAGTGATTGCATGAGTCAGTTTTATGGGCAGTGTCTTGATACGGAGTGAGGGAGGGGCAGCAGAAGGCTGGACAGCTGACGTGTGTGTGTGTGTGTGTGTGTGTGTGTGTGGTTTTTTGAGACAGGGTCCCCCTGCAGCCCCAGCCATACAGACCAGGCTGGCCTCGATCCCCCGCCCAGTGCTGGGTAGGAGGCGCGCCCCACACCCAGCTACTTTAGCCTCTTCTGCTTCATACTCTATGTTGTAGCTTTAAAAATAGAATGAAGCTGAAGTAATGATAGCAACAGCCATGTGTAGTCAGGGTGACTGTCCTCAGGTTACAGACGAACTTCACATGGTCACGAGGCTTTCCCAATGTCCCCGGGCTCCTAGCTGGTGAAGCTTTTGTTCTGGTCTCCAGCCTTCAAAGCCTCCTGTTTAACCAAAGGATTTTCATCAGAGTGGCCGTCCACCTCTGCTGGCCTGGGGCAGGCTTCTCATTCTTTTCTTTAAAAACCATGGCCCCACCTGTCCTTAAACTCTCAAAGACTGGGGATGCGGCTCAGTTAGTGCAGTGCTTGCCTAGCATGCATGAGGGCTCTACTCCCCAGCACTGCATAAGGGGGCATGATAGTGCACATCTGTAGTCCCAGCACTCGAGATGGAGGCAGGAGGATCAGAAGGTCAAGGTCTTCCTTGGCAACATATTAAGTTCAAGGCCAGTCTGGGCTGTCTGAGAAAAAAATGAAACTTAAGTACCCAGAATTCTTCTTCCATGTCTCCTGACTGTTCTCTCTCTGCTGCCTGGACCGTCCCCGCTGCCATTTCTGTCATCTTTCTTCAGAGCTTGATGAACACGGTGCACTGGGGCTGGGGTGGAGCAGGCCCAGGGTTCAGTACCGTACAGCATGGGGCCGGGAGAGGGACTTTCTCCATCCACACAGCCCACATGTCCCAAGTCATTTTATGTGTGTGTGTATATGTGTGTATATGTATATGAAGTTTAGAGCACAACTTGCAGGAGTTGGGAGCTGACCTACTATATGGGTCCTGGGCATCGAACTTAGGTCTTCAGGCTTGGCAGCAGACATCTTTACCCACTGAGTCTTCTCGTTGGCACAAAATATGATTATTTTTATTTCTTATACCCAACCCCTAATACCTAAAAAGTTGGAATAATTACTCAAATTGCAGTATTTGATGAGTAATAACTATAAATATTACTACTTTGTTTATTTAAATGTTCAAGTGGTAAAAGCTTGGATAATCCATTTTAGTCTTGTTTAAAAACATAATTTTTCCTCTTTTTTTTTTTTGAGACAGGGTCTCCCTGTAGCCCCAGCTGGCCTGGGACTCACCGTGTAGACCAGGCTGGCCTTGAACTTACAGAGATCCACTTGCCTCTGCCTCCCAAGAGCCGGGATTAAAGGTATGTGGCACCACGCCTGGCTGGTTAATTTTTACTTTTTTATATAAATATAATATTTTTAACATTTTAAATACAAATTTTTATTTGGTTTGTTAGGTTTTTTAATTTTTTGATTTTTT